TTAATTAAATTACAAACTAAAATGCTCTGCTCTTGTATACATACTATATGTTGTAAATTATGTATCATCTTGTGTATTATCTCTTTACTCTTTCCCCCCTCCCTTCTTTTTAAGGCACTATAACCGCACCTTACTTTTTTATGAATGAGCAATCTTCAAAACATTGCCAGTGCCTGCCACACACCCCTATGTAGCTGTTATGTGATTGGTTGGCTCAATCACAAGGTGCTTTGGCAGTCAGCGGATTGGCTAACAATTCTGAGCCCATACTACATATTGTTTTTCAAAACCTTTGTACTTTAGCAGGAAAATCTGAGCATATAGCACAGACTAATTACAATACATTTATACTACATTTGCTGTACTTCCAAAAGTACTCTTACGTGTTATTGTTGCCAGAATATTTTGCTCATGGGAGTTTTACTTACTCAAAGTTGTTCTAAGGGAAGAAAGGAAAATGATTGGTTGAAAGATTCAACCAATGAAATTGGATCAGAGGCGGGGTCAAAACATTTGGAAATTTGGAGGGAATCTACAGCGTTTCAAAAAGGCGGGGCATAGAGGAGAAACAATAATGTACAGTATGTGGAAAATAATGTGTTTTTTTTACTTTAAACCGCATAAACACATTTCATTACACCAAATACACAAAATAATGTTCTTTTTAGCAGCATCATATGACCCCTTTAAGTAAAACTCCCATGAGCGAATATTTTATCTCCAAATAACTTGCTAATGATAACTATTGAGCATTCTAGAACAGCAACATTGTTTATTCAAATAACCAGCTCTTCTCATTAGCAATTTAAATATTCAAGTACTTGTTTTGTTCCTGTGTTAATATCAACAATTTTTTTTATTTTTTTTTTTGCAGTTTTGGTCAGAAGGGATAGAAGAGGACCTAGAGGCCCCAACAAAATCCAAACAAAATGATATTACCAACTATAATTTTGTAAGAGATATTTTAGTAATTGAGATTAGCATTTTGCAATCCTTTATCTGATAAACCCAAGCAATGAAATAAAGGTTCATCTCTTAAAATGGTGAGCTCTAAAGGTGAAGTCTAAATGTGAAATGAAGATGAGCTACTCCGTATTTACAGCTAACAGTAGGAAAAAAATGAGCGAGGAAAAAATTATATAAGCAAAATGCAACACATCAACAAGCATTCACGCAGCAATGTATTGCCAAAAATTCTGTGAAAGAGGATAAAATTGGCCCTTGAGCTTAATCCCGTGTCTCAAAGGATGGATTAGAACGTTTCAACCACAGAACTTCATGTTGTGTCAGGGGAGGGCATAAGGATGTCTCGCCTGATGAGTCAATTTAAAGCAGCCACTTTAACATTTTCATTATTTTGAATATGCTGCTATTCCACCCAGACTTGCTGCTTAATCTCTGCCACGCTTCATCTGGGATTCATTTGATCTGTCATAACATCCTGCTGCTGAAGCGTCTAGAGAGACTGTTAGAGAGAAATGAGGAAGGCATATTTTTTATCTTTTACATTTTTCTCAAATAAAGAGAAATAATTAGGTGAGTCGTTTACATGCAGTTGTGTTTGTACATATATATACAGTACTTTGAAAAAAATTGTAAATTTTCCCCCTAATTTATGCATCGATTTTATAAATGCATTTTTAGCATGCTCTTTAGTGCTCACTTTCATTGCCAGCATTTAGATTATGATAATGATCCTTTATTTAAAGGTGTCCAGAAGAGGCAATAGTTAAGTAGTTTAATGATAAAGGCCAATTATAATTATTATTATAATTAATTCCTTAACATCTTCATATGTTAAAATATTATTTTTGTGTCCAAATCGTCACATTTATTGTTGAGCAGCCACAGTTTATTTTCATGCAATCACGTGCCTCTCTGCCTGTCAACCATTTCAAGTTTTCTCTTTTTTCCTTTCTTTATGCCACCATGTCCTTCAGCTCTTAGGTCAATGCAAGTAAAATCAACATTTTTGTCTTTGGTTCTGCCGCTTTCTTCTTATTGGCTATAGATGGTTAAATAAATGCTAAAAGACCACACAATGGAAATACATGGACTTTCGCTGTGGGTTAGATTTTGAATGCTGGACATACTGATCGATGGGAAATTTTCAAGTTTTCATCATGAATGTCATCATGAAACGGTAGGCCTAAAAAATGTAGATGAAATTACATTTTGAATGGTGTCTGTACATTAAAGCGGTTCAGCTGAAATCCTTGCAAGCATCTGTGGAGAAGAAAAATAAAATGTTTGAGGACTCTGTCTCTGCAGTCCTGCCTTGCACTGTGATAACTGAATGAAATCATGTGCGCGTGGTGGTGAAGGATGAGAAGAGCCTCACTGGGGCCTCAGTTGTAGAGGAGGAAGGATGGCCGTAGGGAGTTTCCTGTCTGCCTCACGCTTCTGTACCACCCACTCCCCCTCCTCAGAAAAGCTGCCTCTCCCCAGACGTTATCTCTCTCCCACACATTGCCACACAGATGATGTGCCACAAAGCACTGCTGAGTATAAGCCACTATAGGGCTGAATTTCCACATGGCGTATTGTCCTCTCAACCAGACAAAAATTAAATCTAGCCTGTAAAAAGGATCTGTGTTTGCATGAGCTTCCTGTGCATTATGCCACTGCATGCCATCTTCCTTCAGTTTGTGAGGCTAAATCAGATTCTTAAGATTCTAGAAGACAGAAACGGATGAAAATTTTTTCTAGAAATGATTTAACGTTAGTAGCTAAACATAATAATCCCTGTTTGTTAACCTGGGTAACTGAACTCATTATGCCCAAAACAATGAAAGATTTAAATGGTGTTAAAAAACTGTAAATCAGATTTAAGATGACAAAGTCATTTTCTATAGGCCTAAAATGACTATATGTATTAATGCTAAAAAATAAATATACATTTAACATAGATCAGCTATTTGATTTCATTCCTAGCACTAGTAGTGTGTATTAACGGTCTATTAATGTTGAATAATGTGAAACTCTGTGTATAGGAAAACTTTGTACATCTGACCTATACAGATTTAAAAAAGACCTTAAAACAGCAGTTCTTCTAGGTAGGTCATAATGTGCACAAAGAAAAAAACGAAAGACCTTCAAATGTGATCCACCTTAGGTCAATAAATGTTCCTATTCAAATGACATTTGTGTACTAGCATTCAGATACAGATACAGTTCTAATTCTATTGATTTTTATTTATTATAAAATCATTTCAAATTAATGGAATGAGCTTTTTGAGAACACTGAATCATGTCCTTTGTGCATTTAAAACAAATGAAATGACAAATTTTCTTATTTTTACAAAGTCAGCATGTCTTCCCCAGTAGAACAACAACAATCACTAAATATTTAATTATAAAATATTCCAAACCAATAAAAGAATGACTCTCTCACTACAGTTATTGCTCTTCAGTTGTGTTTGCCTGAGGATTTGAAAGAAAGTGTCCACACTTAAAAAAACAATCTGAATGTGAAAGATGATTCACTTCTAAACATCTAAAGGGCATGCATTCACATTCCAAAGCTTTGAGTTTAGGTACTTTCACCCGAATAACGTTAACTTCGCTCACAATGGATTTCAGTTAATCTCCCAACTCAACAATATAATTGTTTATTTTCCACTCCTGAGCATTACAAATGGATCTATGATTGTATGTTTGCTTTGTCATAAATTTGTTTAAATATGAGCCAGCCCTAGGAGCAAGGCTTCCCCAGTCTACTCTCTGTTCCTCCCAAGGTTTCTTCCTCATCTACTTAAGATCTTTCAGAGTTTTTCAACAGCTGCTGTTGCCTTTGGCACTATTTTTTGTAAAGCTGCTTTGGAGCGATACGTACTGTGAAAACCACAACACAAATAAATCAAACTGAATTGAAAATTTAATGGGATCCTGTGGTTAATGGGGCTAAATTGCTCAATGAATGGATCTTTAGCACCTGCAATTATAGCATTTGAAAAATGTTTTTGGGTGAAGGACAGACATAGGCTACTGTTTGCGCTTGGTTAACAGGGCAGACACAACCGAAATGCTTACAACACATCAGTTACGTATACAGTATGTTGTTTTTGTACCAGCATATCTATACAATCACATGTCCTCGCATGAACGATAAGCCATGTTTAGTATGTAGCCTAGTTGCTGACAGTCATTCTCGACAAAGGGCAAACATCTGACCCATCTATCTGGTGAGCAGTGGTTCCACTCAGGTGAGAGTTTGAACTCTGCTCTGTTCTGAATCAATAAATGTACTATGAGTACACAAGCTTATTTACTATGAAGGAACATCCCACTGAGCATCATGACCCGATTCCCTCCTTTCAGTCCCATGGACACCGTCCAACACATGCATCACGTACTGCACGCTGTCACGTATACGAAAACCAACAGGGCCTGTTCATTCCCAAACAATATAGTGTTCAGATTTACATAATGCTATCTTGTCGGACCGCTACAAAATATTACAACTTAGTTTCCCCATCATGCAGTTTTGTTTTAGTGCAAACAGGTGACTGTTGCTTCAAATTAAACAACAAGAAAATCTCTAATCAGTGCAGTACTGTTCTGTGAAAAGGATTTGGCCAAGCAACGTCATTAAACCTTATCCAGAAGTTTAAAACTTTGCTTGACTCTTTGTCATCACGTCAGTCCACACACACACACACACACACACGTTAGTTTCTGTGAATTGTGGGGACTTTCAATAGACTTCTATTACTTTTATACTGTTTATACTGACCAAACGATATTTTCTATCCCCTAACCCTAAACATATCCCTTACAGAAAACCTGTTTGCATTGTTACACTTTCAGATAAACATCATTTACTATTTTTTATATATTTTTCCCTCATGGGGACCGCAGGCCGGTCCCCACAATGTCACAAAATTTCAGGTTTTACACACACACACACTCACACGCCAACGAACAGCTGACGGCAGTGAACATCAACAAACGCGTGTCCTGAGAGGGAGGTGGCGTGCGCTCGCGTCATATGGCCCGCCGCTCTCTGATTGGCCAGCGCGACTCACCAGACATGACCGCGCTTGTTTTCTGCAGAGGAAGCGCGCGTGTGGCACTATTGTAATGTGCAATGAAAGAGACAGCAGCGTTTCGCGAAGAGATGATGTGACCAAACAACACATCTTAAACCATCTTCTGTTAGATTAGCGTTTTGCAAAATAGCTTTGAAAAGCACCGACGCGCTGCCGTTTAGACGAGGACACTGCCTAAGGATCAAGGTGGGTTTCAATAGCCTACACTTCCACTAAGAGCGATCTGCTTTACAGGGCTAGAAGTATTTGTAGTATAATAGCTTGACTTTAGACATAATTATTTGAACATTTTTCCACACGAATAATTACGTTTTCGCTTCTCGCAGTGCCAAATGCCAAGACTAGAGGAACACTGTTGGAGCTGCTCCTGTTCACCCAGTGTAAAGACGCAGGAGCTGTCAAGCGCCAGCTGGATTGTTTGTAAAACGGGTGAAATGATGTCCATCATAACCTCAGTGTTGCGCCACGCATACGGCTCTATGCACAGCCTCCAGTCCGCTAACTTAATGCGACGGGGGCTCGTGTTGTTTATCGTCGGAGTAGTTCTCGCTTTGGTGCTGAACTTACTCCAGATCCAGAGAAATGTTACATTGTTTCCAGAGGAAGTGCTGGACACGCTTTTTTCGTCGGCCTGGTGGATCCCCCTCTGCTGTGGCACTGCTGCTGGTGAGTCATTGTTTTGTTTGTATCGATAGGGCAAAAACCTTCTGCGTGCCTTTTGTTATTGTATTTGCATTACGTAAGAGTCCTCATATGATGATTTGGGGTCAGTTTTGTGGACATTGGGCTCTGTCGCTATCGGTTAGCGCTGCCCTGGAAACAGCCGGGCATTTGGGGTCAGTCTTTGGGGTGCTGCTCTTTCATTGGCTGCGCTCAGAACGGGTGAGCTGCGAGGAGGCACGCCATTGGCTGGAAGGCAGAACATGCCACTTGCAGAAAAGAGAAACACGGAAGTCGTGTGCAGCAGAAATTCATAAATAATTCGGTCACACACAGCTCCTCCCCCTGCATTCCTCACAGTCCACATAGTGGTCACATACCACATATTTTACTATAGAAAATGGCTTTTTGTGAACTTTCGCTCTTCATGTTACTCTGTTAATGGCTAAAACAAAAGTTGTCTGCTTGTGTTCTAAAAAGCAGTCAAACAAACAATACAATTTAGATTGACATCAATCTGATTTTTTTCCCCTGCACGATTTGAAGAGTTACTGTTGTTTAAAGCACTTATGTTTTCTCTTTCCGCAGCTGTGGTTGGTCTCTTGTACCCCTGCTTGGACCACCATCTTGGAGAACCACACAAGTTTAAGCGGGAGTGGGCAAGTGTGATGCGCTGCATTGCTGTTTTTGTGGGCATCAATCACGCCAGTGCTGTATCCTTACCAGTCACGCTCATGAAACCGTAGCCTGAAAGAGGAGCATCTGTTTTGAGATTTGTGTTGTTTTAAGGCTGGAAAACACCACACAACCTTTCTGAATAGTTTTCAAAAATATTAGGCATCATACATCAAACAACTGAGGATGTTGTTCCAAACTCAAATTCATGCAGAAAAATGCACATCATTGCTAGGAGATGCTTGATAGATGAAAATAACTCTTAACATTTGTTTTAAAAACATAAAAGAAAAATTAAAACTGAATCTGTGCCCATGATACAATAGTTTTAACTCTGACTGCTCAGAATCAAAAGACTTTTTCGCCAACAAGCATTGACTCCTCCAGACTGCATTTTGGTGCAAAAATATGGGCTAAAGTCATGTAGTGTACTCCAGCCTTTAATCAGAAATATATATTATTACTGGAATTACACAGAAACCGATTTCCTCAAATACCAGTAAGTCCTTCAGTTATTATCACACATGAAGTCTCTAAATGTTTTTTAACATTTATCTAAGGAAAGTCCTAACTTAGAACTAACTCGTATTTCCCTTAAGTCAAAGTACCTCACAGAAACTGGACTTTGCCAATAATGTGCAGCTTTCACTAACTCTGGCTGCCCTGTCTCTGGGCCTCTGGTGGACGTTTGACCGTTCCAGGAGTGGCTTTGGTCTAGGGCTGACCACTGCTTTTCTAGCCACCCTCATTGCTCAGCTGCTGGTCTACAATGGCATCTACCAGTAAGTTATGACTCACACAAATTGAGACATTGCAGTCGAAAACAGTTTGTCATGTATCATCAATTACCAAGTGACAGCTGAGTCACAGGCTCACTCCTGTATTTATATTGCATGTTTAGTCATCAGATATGAGATGTTTGTAAATGTCTGAATGTGTCATTTTCTGATCATAGCTTAACAGTTGTTGGAAGTTATTAGTGAGTTGTTTCAGTGCATTTCTTTTAATGTTTCTCAGGTATACGTCTCCAGACTTCTTGTATGTACGTTCGTGGCTGCCTTGTATATTCTTTTCTGGTGGAGTGACAGTTGGAAACATCGGCCGACAGCTAGCTATGGTAAGAAACTTTTCCCCATATTTTCTGCTCACCAAACCCTTTTCCTGTCTTTCACAATCCATGGAATCATTTTAGTAAAGTACCTCTGTTAGATTACTCATGTATTGTCTTTAGTTTCCTGGAGTGCTCTGCACTAGGCCAGGCAGCTCTTTTGTGTTCAGAAACGAAACTTAAATGGGGCACACCTACAGAAGCAAAAGTGAAACTGAATATCCTGGAATGGTTCATCAGCTATTCATAGCACTCAGTGTAAATGTATAAAATAACCAGGCAGCCTAAATGTTTTAGGAAACAAATCAGACTTGGAGCCAGATTATTACACACAACAGTCTGTGTACAATTTAGCATGCAAGTATTCAGACGAGATTAGTTTTCTAAACAACATTAGAGATATGGCCGTTAACATAAGACGTCTGTGATTTCATAAACTGATTCAGACATGGTTGGGATTCAAGTGGTATTCCAGCTTTTAACGTTAGCAAAAGGCAACAGTGACAAATGTAGCTTTCGTTTTTGTATTTGATGAAGGACCACATGTTGGCTAAAAAAATTGTAGACAGCTTGGCCTGTAACTTTTATAGATGTTATATGTTCGATTTGCAAATATAGATGTTTATGTGGAAAACTAGGGATCTAGACTATACTTTTTGAATTTTCTTACAGCACACCTAAATTTGACTAGAAATGTGTGGAAAAATAGCTTTTCTATCAAGTGCATTCCTTTTTAGTGATGAGTTTGTTAACGGTTTCCAGTGCTGGGCTGAAACGTCATGCCTGGACATCTTAATTAGCTGCTGATTGTAGTCTGAGGCATGTTTATGCCATCCCCTCCAAGCCTTCTCAGTCAGCTGTGGCTCTTTGTCTTGCTGACATAACCTCGTTCTTTCTCAATAAGGGCGTGAAAGCAGATTACGCTCCTTGTTTTTCATGCTCATGGTCAGAGAGATGGTAAACAAAGTGCTTTACTGGCTCCAAGTGGTGCATTCTACACGTTTTTCCCGGGTGTTTTTTGTTTTCGAGTTGGCACCAGCTGATTTTGCTTGACCAGCTGGGATTAGTGCTCTGCTAGTATTTTTCTCAACTTTCTTTATGAAGTGGCCAGTTAAGAGATGCAGTGGACTCACAAACTGGATCTATCTGAATATACTGAATAGAGACCATTGATGTGTCTGTGAATTTCTATTTTGTAGTCTATAGATGGCTATATCTTCTAAATATAACTCTAGAATTAAGCACCTAATAGTAACTAACACTATTCAAACAATGGCAAAGACCGTATTATGATTACCATTTAAACTGTTTGCACTATACACGGTTTGGTTTTGGAGGATTAAATGTTCTCTTAGAGATTGCTCTTTTTGGAGACTGGCCAGCTGCCCATGAGTGAGGCATATGAGAGAGTGTTGGCGTATGAAGGGCTATCATATTTTACAGGGCACCACATCCACACAAGCCTTGTATAATTTGTGCATATACAAGGCTTGTCATATATATAGTGCATACTAATTATAGCCACAATGTTGAGGGGCCAAGTGAGCTTTAACAGGAGCAGCTTCAGCTTTGTGACAAAACCAGTTTTGAATTGCCCAAAGCACCTTTTTAAATGCACACATTTGGTGCTGGGACATATTTAGGTAGTTAGAAAGTAAGTTGAGTGCTCTGACTTCCAATACTTAGTGCATATTAATAATTCTTTTTAGGTATTTTGCACAGTGGTACAGTTTATGCCTGTTCCTTTATTCTAGGTAATTAGGGGGTGAATGCAAATCAAGCTGTTTCCATTTTTTTGTCTGTTTGGTTATGCGAGATGTGCAAACACTGCATTTTCTTTACTAACGGACTATCTGTTTCTCCACAGGGCTCAACTGAGAAGCCTCATAATGACTAAGTGGATGTCAGAGGTCATGAAGTGAGCTTCAAAGAGTGCCAAAACAGAGGGCCTTCAAACTGAGACTCTATATTGGGTGTTCCTGGTTTCTGTCCAAGTGTAACTTCTGCTCTTAATTTTACTCCTCTTTATAATGATGCAAGAAATCAAAGAGCAGGTTGGTCTGAGTTGGCCCGGTGTGCCATGAACAGCACTTTTGAACAGCCAAAAGAATCCCCCTGGCATTCATTACTACCATCAGCGTTGTCGTCGTTACAGCTCCTTGCAGTAGTGTTACTGGTAACGTCAGTCTCCTTATTACCAGGTTGCTGGAGTGCCGCTATTGGACTGTACAAAATCATAACTAGCTTCACTTTCACCGAAGGTGAAAGAGTGAAAAGTAGTGGTGAAACTTTGTGTATACGAATGTGTGTGTGTGCTGGTCCCTGTGGATAAGGCCAGGGAAAAAAAGGTGGTGTGGAAGTGCACACTTTTTTGTTTTACTTTGCGCTGGAGAGCCGAAAGAGAAATCAAAGGGAAAAAATTGAAGACTGTGCAAAATAACTAAACCATCCAAAGAGGTCTGTGTACTGTCTATATAGGATTTGTTGTAGTTTTATTTTTGAAAACGCTCGCAGCACTGCGAGTCTCTCATACAGACTGACCACCTTGAGTGTTATTTTGAGTACCAGAGAGGTTTGATTTGCCAATCACATTTGTGCCGACTGGTTAGTGTAGTATATTGACTGAATTGATTGTGTTTTTATCATACTTTGTTGCTAACGCAGACCAAAAGTAAAACTAGAAACATTTGTTTTCAAGAAATTAAGTGGCACCTTGAAATAAGAATTAAATGTACGTTAAAACATCAAGGATGCTCCTATTTGTATTAATGTAAACTCATAAAAATGGTGTAAAGAATTCAATTTAAAGGTTTCTAAATCAAAAGGTTGGAAACTTGTGATAACTAAACATCCAGAAGACATTTGTACTGCGGCCTCGAAGGTTTGCAATCTGTGATTGCCTTTGTATTATAGAATTAAGTGCTTTTGTCACTTCCTCTCCAGTACAGTCATTTTTCTTTTTCTTTGTACTTTATTCATTGTGTATTGCTTATCACATGCAGCCGCTTCTATATCTAATATAAGAGGAATCACTGGGCTAGTGTGTAGGTTTGGGGGTCTTGGCAAATGAAGTGCAATCAGTTTCTTTGAGCCTGGTATCTTTCATATTTATTACTTTTTATAATGTTAAGGTACCCCAGACGACTCATGCAGTATAGCAACATACCAGCAATAAACACATTGTTTATACATATATGTGAAGATGTAATATGACAGCAGACTCATTTTTAAAAGAAGTCACACACAAAAGATAATATTGCAAATGATACCAATGACCATTTCCACTGTTCTGGGGGAAAAACACCATGTTCCGTGTCTTTACTAGCAGTAGAAAATTGGAAAAATCCTTTTAAGAAAATGCTGTGTGTTGTATTTTGGGAATGTCTGAAGAAGAACACGAGGGAATGTTTTAAAACAGTGATAAAACGTTGCTCTCAGGAGTAACAGGCTCTTTCTGAACCTTTGTGCTTCAGGGAAGGAGAGATGTTAAACTGAATGAAAGCTTTATTTTGAGGGGAGTGAGAAATGCAATAATGTGTTTCTAGGAGTGAGTGTGCCCTCTGTGTCTTTACCACTTCATTTATACTGTTTTAGGTTCAATGAATGAAATTCAATAAAATCGTGTGTTGTACAATGGTCTTTTGAGTTATTCACTCTTGAAATTTGTGGGCTAAGCATAAAAAATGCATGCGTTTTATTCATTAATACCAAGACAAATTTGTAACGTTTCTTCATCGGGTTTATTGTTATTGTTAACCTGGTTACATTGAGGTATTAAGGCAAATGGCTTGGAATCAAACAACTGGAAGAAGTAGTTTGTGATATTAAATGTGATATTCATTTTCTATGTGAAACATGCCAATCTAATTACTTACGTTTTTATAGCTTTGTACAAGTTAAGAATCTTTGTACAATAAAATGTTTTCCAGTTATACATTTAGTGCTTACACAAATAAATTTAAAAAAAAAGCTGATCTTAATTTGTGATTTCAGACATCAAACTCATGTTTTTTCCCAAATAAATCCTTCTCCCTTTGCTGTCTCTCTGACCTCCTTCTCTTCCCCTCGGTTTGAGGAAGGAGTCATCTGAGACAACTTCTCCTACCCCCTCGTCTATTTATATCAGCAATTAGGATTGACCATACATGTAAACGTGTGAAAGCACATACGTGATACTCTTTTACCCATCTTAATTTATATTTTCAGAATGTATATTCTTACACACAAAAAAACATACATATTTAAACATATTCCCTGTTACTGTTTAACCTACTACATCGTTTTGCCTTCAAAGTCAAGAGCAAACATGAGCTGTCCAACTGCATGTAAAATGAATGTTTAAAGAATGAATCCTGGTGTGCCATAGAATGCAATGCCACTTCTTGGCAAAGGGGCCTGAACTTGAGATAACAGTGTCAGCATCTTGCAGAGTTTTTTAGCACAAGGTGTTTGGTTAAAGTTAACTGATCTAAGCTGCTACTATGTTTAGAATTCTTTCTTTTTTTTCTTTCCTTTTTTGTTAGATTTACAGTTTTTTTTTTCTTTTTGAAATGATTAAAAATGCATATTTATTTAATCTAAATATACATCTAGAAGTGTATAGGAAGAAATACATACATCCCATCCCTTTTCTACCCTTTTAAACACTCATCATTCCCGCTAGCATATAAAAATACTTGAAATGCAGTCTGACATTATCCAATACAATCAGTAGACTGCTCCTCTTGTGTGTTTGGAGTGAGGTGCAGAATGTGTGACTGGATACTTAGCCAAATTCATATACCAACAGTAAATTAAGCTGACCAATAAAAGTGAAGAAAAAGAATTGCGTTGCGTCTTGCACGTACTTGAAATTTATTATAGCTATACTGGGTCATTTTGACGCTTTTGACCACACAATTTGGTTCCAATTCACATCAGCAGATGGCAGTATTGTACATTTTTCAACAGTACCACGTTACATTAAAGAGGGACCCCTCCTGGTAGCATGAACACTGCCTGTTCCTAGTCAAACTTCAACAGTGACAAGTATGTCATTGTGTATTAGAGATGTCCCTTCACATCTAATACAAAAGCCAGATGTTTCAAAGCACAAGTGAAAATGAGGGAAATCTCAAAATAAAACAGCTTTTTAGCAATGTTTAAAGTACATTTCAGCATTTCTGGTGGTTACTGAACACAAACTCAACAACACTTGTTGAATAAAGAAATAAAAGCATAAAGAATGTGTGAAGTTGCATCAGAATTGCACTCAACCACACTGAATTTCTAGCGGTGAAATTGTTGTGTGGGCTGAGATTTGAACCTTGGTCGATACATTAAAAATAAATGTTTCTACCATACTTTATTTTGCCCTTGAGCATGACACTTAACCTCAGGTTGCTCTGGAAGTCAAGTTCTTTTCAGTAAAAGTTTACATCAACCATTCTGTATAGGGCAAAAGAAAGGTACAAGCGAAAGATAAAGAACAGCAAAATAAATGTTTGTGTGTGTTGGTGGATTTTCCATGTGTTTGTATGGAGATGACTTGCAGAGGCTTTAACAGGCGTTGAGGATTTAGATTGCTCTTTGGCCCTGGGTAAGGGCCCCCTCCACCGCTCCTCTAATGGAAGATGATTCAGTCGAACGGACGAGAAGACAGAATCGCAATTACCCAGACTTATTGAACTCACCCCTGACATTTCTTTGGCTTCTGACTGAACTAGCACAGGAGTACAAGAGGACAGGGAAGTGGAGGAGAGATGAAGGGGAGTGGGGGGATACAGAAAAGAGAGAGAAAAGATAGAATATGTTAATGACAAAAGAGACCGAGACACTAAGAAAATATAGATTACACAGAGTACACAAGCCCTCTTAAAGGTCTTGCACCTGAAAAGATATAATGCAGCCGTATAGAAACATGCACAATTGGACAAAAACAGAATAAAAACACAGACAAAATTAATCGCCGCCTTTTTCAACCAACAAAATGATCTTAAATTGGACCGCCAAGCTGTGAAATAATTTCTGCCTCAGTCAACACTGTCACTGATTCTGGGGATTGACGTGTGCATGTTAAGCCACAATGGCAATCTCTCTCCATTCTCTCGTTCGGTATCTCTCGCTCATTGTCTCATCACCGTCTCACTCAATCTTTGAGGGTAGCAAGATAATGAATTGAAGAATTAGACCTAATGGGACACAGACCAGCGATGGTGTTACAGGAGGGGGCAAAAAAACAACAAAAACACAGAGCACCATTTCAGTCCAAATTGCCCGCGATGCCATTCAAATGCCAGTCTGGCATTTAAACATGTCTCACCCCTCACAACTGACCAGGACTTCCATTCGCCTCAGTCAGTCTGATTCAGCCCTGCTTGTTCTAATTGGTTTATGGATTCCATGGTCGATCACAAGACAAGAACTCTTATAGCAAAGGTGCTGGCAAAGTGCTTTTCGGTAAGGAGGGTCAAGGTCACAGGATTCGACAAGGATTCTGTTATTACAATAATCAACAAGGGTGTAGCTGTAATTATAACAGCATAACCCCCTTTCCTTCAGAAAAAAAATAAAAATTCTACAACTGATCTAATTTAGGATTCATATCCTAGTCTAACAAATATCAAATGTGTCTCAAAAATTCTTTGGAAGAAATATACTAGTTGTGATATGCAGGTGTATGAAGGGAATGAAGAGTGATGACAATATAGAGATTAGGTCAGTCATTTATTACCGGGGTACTTTATATCAACAGTGTCATATAATGAAGATTACAACTGATATTCTTCAGGCATTGTACAAATGGAAATCAAACACACTTCTCTCTGTGTGCAGTGGAATGAATTTCACAGTTCTGCGATGGCTGCAGTCAGAAAAGTAAATATCAGGTGGTGACACATGAAGCGTTTGATCCGCACAAATCCTTTACAGTGCAAATGAAATACACATGGCATTACGGTCTGGGATTAACTGTCTGCTGACTGCCGTTAGGCCTGCCACTATTACAACCTAATCAAGCACATGAAGACACACTCTAATAGTAGGCCAGTGCTGCAAACCCTGTTGTTCAGGGATTTTTTTTAAACTATATGTCTAATTAACAATGATAAAAATGCAAAAAACAAACAAATACAAAATAGGAGAAGTATCAAATAATTGTGTAAATAGTTTTATCTACTATTATTTAAAAATGATAGGGAACAGATTCACTACATTTCCAACTATATTTCATGTTTTCAGAAATCAGCTGCATGTGCTGTTACTCAAACTGTAGAAAGGAATATAAAATAAACATATTTTCCTACATGTTAGGACTGAAGTAATACAATTTATTTGGTTTTCTTCAAAACACTGCTTTAATTTTAAATTTTATACTTTGAATTTTCCATTAAAAAAAAAATCATGTATAAAGACACGCATTTACCTTGAGGCCAGTGGCCTTTTTATGGCATTCTGCCATGTCACTTTTAGATAAAGAATGTAATTTGATGCCAGAGTTTTTATATTTAGTCATTTGACCTAAATATTTTGCAGGGACCCCTTTTAATATGTTTCTGGTCCCAGCCCAGCCCCTCAAATGCTTGTATAGCCTGGGACACATAGAAAATGATGACTTTAACCTCCTCAGCATGAGCTGTGAACAGTTCACACTCCACTTTTGTGATTATTAAAAAATGTGTAACCAACAAAAGCCACATTTATGAAAAGAAAATGAATACATTTTGTAAAATATATACCATTTTAAAAAGCAGTGTAATTTAAAGATACAGTTATTTCCGTTCTTGTAATTCAAAACTGTAAAACCTAAAAATAACTTGCAGGCAACAAAGACAATTTCATGTCTAGTGTTTTAATTCCAAAATTATAGGCTAATTAATCTCAAGTAGTATTATTTTTTAAACAATGCACCGATTATTAATTTCTTTTTTAACCCTATTTCTAACTCACCCAAGAATAGATCTTTATACAAATAACTAACCTTTAGCAAATAATTTAGTAAGCCTAAATACCCATCATATTCTGTCACCCATCGTCATTAAATGTTCACCTTTAATACGAGCAGCAGAAGGAAGGAGAAACAGGCGGTATAGACTGGGCACAATAGTCAAACAGCGATCACAGCCTTTATTTCTAACCCATTGGGAGCATAACTTGCTTCCTCCCTCAAGTGCGTATTGAACGTTTATCGAGAGGCAGTCAAGTTCATTCACGCATTATCTTTCATCTTAGTTCAGCTGAGTAATCTTAAATATTTAGAAAATTCAATTTACGTCTATTACAAGTCGAATTTAGACACGATGACGAAAACGGTTCA